GGTTTGGGGCTCAGGGGGGGCGGCGGCCGACTTCTTTCGTCTCTTTCAGGGAGGTTCTGCTGCTAGGCCCTATCGGATCTCGGGTCTTTAGGGGCATAGTTTTTTTTCCTTAGAAGTGGGGTTATAAGTCCCCCCCTAATAAGGGTTATAACTGTAGCTACCCTACTTACCTCTTTTAACTACCCAGGAACCTCCAAGTAGACCCTAAACCCTGGACCCTCAGCTCTGAGCCCTAAACCCTGAATCGGCTGAGGTGCGGAGCATTTTCGAGGAGAAGGGCAGCAACGCCTGGCATGGGCCTCGTTTTTTTTTTTTGCTTTTCCGGTCTTCCGGCTAAGGGTTTAGGGTTGCAAAAGGGCTCTTCTATGAGGGCTCTATAAGGGCTGTTTAAGGGTTCTGGTGGGGCTTTACGGTTGAGGGTTTTGAGAGGGCTCTGCGACGGTTCTGTCAGGGCTCTACAGGGGTTGTAGGGCTTTGGGGTTCTACAGGTCCTGAAGGATTCTAGAAGGGTTTAGGGTTTAGGGTTTAGGGGCCATGCAACATGACCAGAGGACTCGGTTGGATTCAACGCCCGCTTCAGATTTCGTGTTTCATCTACAACGAAGGGGCACCCTAAACCCTAAACCCTAAACCCTAAACCCTAAACCTTAAACCCCTAAACCCTACAACCCCTCAACCCTAAACCTTAAACCCTAAACCCTAAACCCTAAACCCTAAACCCTAAACCCCTAACCCCTAAACCCTAAACCCTAAACCCTAGAAACCTTGGAGTCGCTCTTGGCGACTGCAGGTACGAGCTTTCCGTGGCCGAACTGCTGCCTGAGGACACCTGCTCCGCTCCTCGGGGGTTTAGGGGTTCAGGGGTTTAGGGTTTAGGGGTTTAGGGTTTAGGGTTTAGGGTTTAGGGTTTAGGGTTTAGGGGTTTAGGGTTTAGGGTTTCTAAGGTTCTTTCCACTTTGGATCCTCAGGCTTAAACTACGCCCTCAACCCTAGACCCTAAACTAGGCCCTAAACTCTAAACCCTAGTTACACCCTGAACCCTAAACCCTAAATCCTAAACCTACACACTACACCCAGCGCTCTAAAACCCTATACCCTGCACTGCAAGCTCCCGTGGAGTTCCTGCTACGGAAGTAATATAGGGGCCTTAATAATCAGAATAGGGTTTGGGGGCCCGAAATATACTAAGGAACCCCCCCAAACCCTATTAACAATTAGAATAGGGTTTTGGGGGTTCCTTATTATATTTGTTTATGCTAAGGAACCCTCAAAACCCTGTTCTAATGAGTAAGGCCCCTACATTAGCTCGCCAGTTCTTCTTTTCGCCACGCGTCAGGAGCACCGAGACTCTGCCGACCTCTACGAGAAAGGCTGCCGCCTTCTGGGGTTTAGAGTTTTAGGGTTTTAGGGTTTTAGGTTTTAGGGTTCTAGAGTTTTAGACTTTTAGGGTTTTTGGGTTTTAGAGTTTTCGAGTTTTAGGGTTTTAGGTTTTTAGGGTTTTGGGGTTTAGGGTTTTAGAGTTGTAGAGTTTTATGGTTTTAGGGTTTTAGGGTTTAGGGGCTCTTCTTGACTTCGGGTTCGGGCTTAGGACTCAGGGGTTCGTCAGTGGTTTGGGCGGCTACACTCCAAAGCCTAATTCTTATGAAGCCCCACACCTGTTTCAGCTCGCAAATTCACGGCACACTTCTTCCAAGGGCCGTGATAAGCCCCAGACCCCAAACCATCCTAAACCCTAACCCCTGAAACCCTGAACCCTAAACCCTAAACCTAAACCCCAAACCCTAAACCCCAAATCATCCTAAACCTTGAACCCTAAACCCTGAAACCCTAAGCCCTAAACCGGCTCAACCCATTCTTCCTCGAGCTTTCGGCCCCTCATCCTCTTAGAACCATCCTTCGGCCTGGGCTTGCAAGGCACAAGACAAAGCTACTATAGAAGTCTAAATAAGTAGCCTAAACGCTAAAATCCTGAGCCCTAAACCCTAAACCTTAAATAAGTACCCTCAACCCTAAACCAAAAGTATTCCTCATGGTTCCTTATAGTAGAATTATGCTATAAAAAGACAAAGAGCCCCCAAAGCCCTATTCTAATCCATTAAGGCGCCTCCAGCACCTTTTCCTTTCTTCGTGCTAACTAGATGAGCGTCTTCGATCGCGCCTGCGGGCCAGCCTCAAAACCAGATTTAATTGTGTCATTGGAGGGTCCAAGGTAGGTCAAAACCCGACCATTTGATCAGGTTTTGTTTGTTTTCTAACTTCTGGATTCATTGGTTTTCCCTGCCGCATGATCGGGAGTGCCTTTTGGTGGCGGCTCTTGACATCATTTTCAGCCGGCAGCCAGCTTTCTCTCTTAGCATTGAGCCTTCCAGCCTCTTGAGGGATTGCCGTCGCATACATCGAAGGTATGACATTAAACCTGACACGAGCACCCTTCTATGTAGTATGTGAGCCTTCCTCAAAGGAAGCCGTGAAGGTGTTCGTTTGCTGCACAACTGTCGGCCTCAAATGTAGAGACCCTAAACCCTAAACCGTATTGTAGTAACTAATGACCCTAAACCCTAAACCCTAAACCCTAAACCCTAAACCCTAAACTATAATGACCCCAAACCCTACAGCCCCTCTCCTTGAGCCTGGAGGGCTCTTCGGCGCCTCAACATACGGACTCGTAACACGCCGTTCATCCCAGAAGTTGAAAACCCTTCTAGGCATAAGTCCTCTGCCCCCCCTTTAAGGGGCACTTAGGGTTTAGGGTTTAGGGTTTAGGGTTTAGGGTTTAGGGTTTTCAATCCGAAGCCATGAATCATGAATCGTAAGTTCTAAGTTCTAAAAACCCCTAAACCCCTAAACCTCTAAACCCCCTAAACCCCAAACCCCTGAGCCCGAAACGGTAAACCCCAAAACCCTGAACCCAAAAGCCCAAGATCTCCCGAAGCAGGGACCGACGCCGTAAACCCTAAACCCTAAACCCCTAAACCCTTAACCCTAAACCTTACTTGGAGGTTCATGGGTAGTTATATATGGGGTTATAAGTAGGGTAACTGTAATTATAACCCATATTAGGGGACTTATAACCCCACTTTTAACTACCCACGAACCTCCAAGTAAACCCCCTAATTCCAAAGCCCGAAGGGACCGACACCATAAACCCTAAGCCCTACACCGCTAAACTCTTAACCCTAAACCCGAAACCCCTAACCCCCTAAACCCCCTAAGCCCAAAGCCCGAAGCAGGGACCGACACCATAAACCCTAAACCCTAAACCCTAAACCCTAAACCCCCTAAACCCGAAACCTCTAAACCCTAACCCTAAACCCCCTAAACCCAAAACCCTAAGCAGGGACCGACACCATGGATGTCTGGTTCGACTCCGGCTCTTCCTGGGCCTACGCGGGGAGCTCCCAGAGTCCGGAGTTTGGAAGAGTAGGTTCGACTTGAGAGTTTAGGGTTTAGGGTTAAAAGGGTTTAGGGTTAATAAGGCTTGAGGGTTTAGGGCCCTTAAGGGTTGAGGGTTAAGGGTTTAGGGTTTAGGATTTGGGCTTTGGGGTTTACCGGTTTGCGTTGGGGGTGTAGGGTTTAGGGCCTAGGGCTTAGAGTTCAGGGTTGAGGGCTCGGCCTGGCCGTACGCTCTGAACTCCGTGGATTCATTTTTCAAAGTCCTGGACCACCACGTGCCGGAGGAGAGCCTTCTAAGCTTGATAGATGTTGTCTCCAAGTATGAGCACGTCGGGCGGGTCTTCAAGAAGGAACAGAAGTGGTCTCAGCTGTGCCTTGCTGTCTCCACGTTATCAACACACGCAAGTTTAGGCGAGATCTCGAGCAGCCCGAGCGAACGCCTGGCACATTTCCATGGCAAGCAAGTTCGCCGTATGAGTGTGGCCGGCATCAAGCGGGTGGCACCAACATCCGGGTGGAAGTTGCCGTGGATGGTGCATCAACATCGGTCTTCTGCAAGTATCACCCCGACGATTGCGATGAGCAGAAGATGCGAATGTTGGCCACGTTGGAGATGACACAAGATGCAGAGCAGGTGGACGCATGCCTCTTAGCCCTTAAAGCACTAACAAAAAAGCGGATGGAACTCATTTCCATCCGCGTGTGCTTCGAGCAGTTTGTGCTCAATTCACCGCAGTGTGCAGACGCGGTGCGGCAACCCCGGAATCACATCAGGATTTCGGTCAAGCCCGGATGACCGAGCAATATGCCTTATGCCAGCTGGAAGGGGGGGGCTTTGGCTTTGCTTAATTTTTCCAGCCTGAAGCGGCAGCCATTCCACAGTCAGGACAAGTGTCATTGGTGTCCGTTTTGCGAGCGCAATACGGCGCGATGGGAGGCTCGCCAAATGAAAAACTCAGGCAAGATCAACTGCTGGTTTCGCTGCACGAAGTTCCCTGGCTGCGACTTTGCCTGGGACGCGCAACGGGGTCTGTTGCCGCCGAAAGCACCCGCTGGATCATCCAGACGCTCCATGAGACGCTCCGAGGCCGAAAAAGGATGACGAGGATGGCAAAGATAAAGATGGCAAGGATGCCAAGGAGGACAAGAGCGCGACCCGCCCGAAGCCGACGAGTAGCGTGGCTTGATTTTCCTCTTCGATCTTGCTCGCGCATCTGGAGCCGGTCCCTTTTCACGGCCCGTGCGCGTTAGAATCTGGGGGGTTAAACCGCCGTAGGTCCACATCTCTTGTCGAAGTTGAGACTACATACATCTCACATCGAGTTTAGATGCTCCAGACTCCAGACCATTCCTGCTGAATTGGACGAAAACGGTTGATGATACAAATCCTGCATTTTATCAACAGTACGACTCTCGTGTTCTTGGGTTTCGGTTTTCCACTTTGGGCGGAGTCCCGAGGTCGGGAGAGGACGGAGGCTGAGATTGAGGAGTTTCTCAGGTTTTCTGATTGGGTTTAGGGTTTAGGGCTTAGGGCTTAGGGACCTTGAACCATGATGATAATCATAATGGTAATGCTGGGTAATCATAGTACGAATCTTTCATGAACCCTAAGGTGACTTCTGCGCCTCCTCCGTCAGATTCCTCCGAATTTCCTTGAGCAGTGACAGACCCGCGAAGTTGCGGAGCCTGTCGGCGCGCTCCTGGGCTTTGAAGTAACCAGGGAGAAAAAAGGGTTTTGGGGTTTAGGGGGGTTTAGGGTTTATAGGCAATTTATAGAGGTTTAGGGCTTAGGGTTTAGGGTGTAAAGACTTTTAAAACATATTGGTTCCTTTAAGGAACAGGTCCCAAAAAAAGTATTGAAGTATGGTACTCCAAAGCCATCCAAAGCCCAGGCTCCAACAAAGTCTCCATGGGAACCTTCAGGGCGTAGTCTGCAAGGGAAATGCTGCGGCTGCCCGGGTCCTCGGCTTTGGGGCTTTAGGGGTTTAGGGTTTAGGGTTTAAGTTTCATTAGGGTTTAGGTTTTCCCGAATGCGTAGCAGAAGGGTTCTCGTTTGAAGGCTGGGGGTCTGGGGGTTAGGAGTTGATGCGGAATGCGTGCGCAGCGTCCGCAAGCGTCCGCAAGCGTTCGCAAGCGTTCGCGAGTGTCGCAGCCCAGCCCCCCCAGCCCCCAGCCCCCAGCCCCCAGCCCCCAGCCCCCAGCCCCCAGCCCCCAGCCCCCAGCCCCCAGCCCAGCCCCTAGCCCCGAAACGCAGAACTGTCGTCACTTTTTGGAATTCGCGTTCCAAAAGTGTCAACAGTCACGGGGATGGAACTGCATTCGGGTTCGTGGCTCCTCTCAAGTTTTTTGTTAAGTGCAGTGGCCTTTTCTGTGCGACCAAGCCTGCCTCCATTGAGGCCTACACTGACAAGCCCCACAAGGGGTGCCCGATCACTTTTGTCTTTTTTTTGGGTTCACTTGTACCTTTTTTTCTGGGTTCGCTTGTGTCTTTTTATCTGGTGTCGCTTCTGTCTTTTTCCTCCTTCGCAAGCAACAGTCTCGAACGAGAGGTGCCTTG